GACTATCAAAACAAACTAGTCACTACAGATTGACAGGTTTTTTAGTGGCTTTCCAGGTGTGGCTGTATGAGTGCATACTTGCACTTGAGGGGAATGTGGCCACAAGAATTTATAAGAAATATCCACGCATTATGAAATTGGACTGTGCACAAACATCCTTTGATGGTAATGTTTGAGGACCAAGTGTTTGGTAATGAGAATGTAAGGTTTTAAATACATCTAAATTGTTATGTAATCATTTGGTTAGTTGTATAAATTTTGAAATGACACATGCTCAATATTTTTTCATCTTATGTGAAATAGGTTATGATAAATGGCATTGATCCCGATAAGTGTATTTTATACACTTATTTAGACTATTAAAATTGAGTATTTGTTAATGAATTTGATGGAATATGGCTTAACCCTATGTATATATTGTGTGTAGGTTACAATCAATGGAAGATATGAGAAAAGAAAATAAGCGGGAAAAACAACTCAATTACATCAAGGGCAAAGTTTGGGGACTAGAATGCAATAATCCAAAAGTTGAATTGGACCAAAGAACGATGAGTTGAGAACACCAAGAATCAATTGGAGTTGAAGAAAAGCTAATGGGACAAGAAATTTTGGGAAAGGACCAAAACACACTTCAGAAAGTTTAGGAACCAAATTGCAAATTGACCCCTAAAATAATTGAACCGTGCATATGCATAGGCTTGCAGGTCTTGCGTACGCACGATTGGAAAATTTAACTTTCGAAGCTCAATTGAACCTATTATGTGTACGCACCAAATGAACCATGCGTACACATGGTTCAATTCCGACAAAAAAATTCTGTTTCCTTATTTTGTTTTGGAAAGTCTTGGTTTGCAATTCTTTACATGATATTTATACCAAAAGTCGACAAAAATACGAGTAACCTAATTTTTATCATCTTGGAAGCCGATAAAGAGGAAAAAGAGAGCGGGATATACATTGAAGGACAAGACTTCATCACTTGGATCCGGAATTGAAGGCATAAAGTGGAGGATTTCAGATTCTTTTCATACTTTAATGATTCGAGTGACGTCGTTCTTTTATTTTTCCTATTTTTCCTACATTAATATGTTAGGCTAAATATCTTTGTATTGGATGGATGACAAAACTGATTGACTCTTAGTTTTTAATTCAAGACCTTAAGTTTTTTTTATCTTAATTCTTGTGTTGTGGTTTCTTTAATATGCATATCTATATTGTTTTAATGTTTGCGCACCATTAGGACAATAATTTGCTTCTTCGTAGTGTTGGAAAACTCACGATAGGTATAACACTGTTATTGGAACGCATGTACAATGAATGTTAGGAATAATATTTGTGACGTGTGCGATCATGTGTGATAATCCTATACATCAATGCGTGTTTGCCATATGAATTCGGACTAGGAATAGGATCGTCTCGTGGTAATCATAGGTTTGTTATATTTTTGGAAAGAATAATAAATAAAAGTGAAATTATCGATCGTCACAATTGCATGAGTTGAGATAATTGTCATAGGTTGAGAATTAGAACTAAGAGTTGATCAGTGGTGTCGGAAATCCAATACATTTACTCATCTAAATTCTAAAACAAATTCTCATCAATTTTGCAATTTTTAGTTATAAAACTGAATTAGCTATTCAAACAAACATCAACTTTTAGTTAATCACACGAATTTAATTATATCGAATACACTGAAATTAGACCTTATTCTCTGTGGGACAATAACTCTTTCATCACAATTATTACTTGTAC